TGATCTTATTTCATGAAACTTTATTTTTCTAGAGATTGTCCCCAAAACCCCAAAACCCCATCCTTAAAAAAATAATTAGATTAAGTTCATATTCTTAATTATAATATATTTTAATTATAGCATATTGGTTATAGCATTTGAAATACTCATGATTAGTTACTTATCATAATCAGATAAGATTTTTGTCTCGCTCTATAGCGACAATCATTGGTAGAATATCCGGTCTAAAAGTTATTCATGTGTTAAAATCTGGCTGACTGAATCATCCTATTGTCAATCGTTGTTTGATATGCTCAATTCATATCTGTCTGAATAATCATGAGATGCTAAAGCTACATCAATTGCTTCATCTTCCTCATCATCTTCTTAGTCTTCATTCGATCTCCTATTATTTTAACCTTAATTTAGGTTTTATCTACTGTTAAGAGTTTCAATTCTCTCATATAAGTAAAGATTGTTATTTGATGGGAGATTATTCTAGTTTGATAGAAGCTGTTAAGAATTCTGATCTGGACCTCTATTTAAAACTCCAAAGCATTCTTCTAGAGCAGTTAATACTTCATTTACATAAACCTCTTCAAGAATTTCCTGGCCGATTTTCCCAAATCTTTTCTCAATTGAATGCAATGGTTATTAATTTTATCCTTATATTTATTACTACTATCTGATGATATTGCTTAGTGCATTTTATCCTGAATTACTGAACTGATTTACAAGGTCAAACTAACTTTCTTGGGTCAGGTTGAAAAAATCAGAGGTAGTTTTTTCTACTGTCCTCTATGAAGTTTTGCTAGACTTTTGCCTCTTAACTCTATTCTATTAAATACCATCTAATCTCTAGCTTTCAGAGTAACTACCGCTAGCTGAATGGACAGATTCACTCTTGTTCTTTTTATTGAGTGGACTATATATTTCAATATCCTCAACCTTAACCTCCTCATACTAATTATCATTTCTATTGCTATAATCATCAGAATTAGCTTTTGAGACGAATTTACTTGCTTCTTTTTCATTTATATTCATTGGAATATTATCAATCCCCTTAGGATATTATTTTCTTGTTTAGTCACTTGAAACACTTTGAACTTTGTTGTTATTTGCTAATGACTCACTTGATTTCATGAAATCTTAAACCATTATATTTTACTGTCTACTCCTTGAAGCTTATGAGTATCTCTTAGACTCTTCTCTTTATAACTCTTAAAATGGGCCGTTCAAAGCTGAATTTAGTCCACTCTAGGACACAGATGACCTTAGGATGGAGTTATCACATTCACTTGTAGGGTTCTAATGCTGTAAAAATCTATTGTATGAGTCAGCTGACTGCAATGATTACATCGGTTCTATAATACCTTGAGGACTTGCACTTAAATTTTATCTTTAATGCTATTACTAATTCTTGATTAAAGCATATTCTTTTAACATTGAATCAAGCATTAACATGTTATCTTGAATAGCCTTAAGGAAATCCTGTTTCTCACTTTCAAAGTACTCTTTTTAGGACTCATCTCTTTAAGTAATCATTTCCTTAATTTCTAACTAAAGCCTCTTCTATAAAGTATTAAATAACAGTTCTTGATGGGATTCTACTTCTTAAACTACTTTTGTTATATTGCTAAGTTCTTTTTATTATTGATTAACTAGATTTAAAATTTGTTACTTTTATTGATTTAAGTCTGTCGATATCTTAGACTAAAGCTATTCTATTTTCTCATCAATTTGGTTTGATGATAAATCTCTTGGTTGCTGAGATAACCTCAAATTAATCATTTCCGTGATTTGATCTTTAACTTCCTTAGTCTTATCAGTAAATGACTTTTCCAGTTTTTCAATCTTATCATGTTTTATGAACTGCTGGGTTTCTTCTCTTATATTTTTTTAAGCAGTAGCTATTGCATCAAATTATTCTTTTTTCTGCTGCTCCATTTTCTTGCCTAGTTAATTGAGCTTAGTTGAAATCTAGTCATTTACATTCTAAACATTATTCTGGCTTTCTTCCTTTAGACTATCAAAGATCTTTTAATAAAGCGTTTTATTAACATCTCTTAGTGAAGTTTTGAAACCATCATTTAAAACTTGGATTGATTGCTAGGACTTATCATCTAAACTTTATAGTTAGGTATGTGTCTATTATTTCAATGTTCTTAATTATTATTCCAAAGTATGCATTTTATCTAAAAGTGTATTCTCGTTTGTTTGATTGTAAAATTCCTTGTTCCTCAAACTGTCAATTTGCTTAGCACTGTGCTCTTATTTCTATTATATCAGATCTATTTCTTTTGAAGCAGATTCAATTTTCCTCTGCATACTATGAAGCTACAATTGAACTTCATCATCTTTAGTACTTTGTCTTAGCAAATGCTCTTATCTCTAGCCTTAGAAGTTAACAATATCTTTCTTTTATTCCTCACTATAATTATAAAGGCTAAAAATATGGATATTACTGAAGCTTTAAAATATCATTTTTAATCTCTTTTTTGAAGAACATAAGCTTACTGAGCGATAATTTAAAATATTCTTAAATTTCATTTTCCAGACCAATCTTAAATTGAACCATTTCCTAAAAACTTTATGAATTCGATTAATTTTTACATTCTTTTGCTCTTAACAGATCTTTTGAATTTTTTCAGTAAAGTCGGCAGTATTTTTAGATGATTTCTTTTTTTATTTTAGCTTTTCATTAGAACTTAGTCTTAAGCCTTTCTAAGGAGTGAAAGTCCTATGCTTAAAGAACCCATTAGAATCACTCATATTATTAAGAGTTAAATACTATCTTTAATTGAGGTCTTGTTTCAAATTGCTCAGATCCTCATTATGATCCTCTATTTAGTTGTTGATTGATATGATATGATGAGGATTTGAATTATCATCCATATGATTTTCATTTGGAGAATAATCCCGCATTGATCTTTAATGAGCATTTGTCATATAATTATTAATTTTTGAGCATGTCTAACAGCTTTTGTGAGGTGTAGCAACTGACTCTAGCTCAGAAACGATTTATTAAGGAGCAAAAGCATTGGTATTGTTGTAATGAGTATTAATGTTGGTTATGTTTTAGCTACTCCCCAAAATATTGTTATTATTTAAAAATGAATCTTTCAAACCTTGATTAATGCTATCTTTGTGTTTAGCTGTCTCGGGTCCTAGACAGAAAAGTTAAGTTTGTCAATTCTTACTTGTTTTCAGAGTTTGCAGCAGAAGCAATGGAGGCTTGTTATGTTATTGCTAAAGCATGTTACGAGACTCATTGACTTTCTTTTTTTTAAACATACCTTTTTTCTTGTTTGGAGTTCCTGCCAATGGCACACCGCCTTCATTCATATTCACCGAATTATTTTGCATTTTAGTACTCTAAACAAACAATTTCATCCTTTCTTTTATTGTACTCTGTCTATTTTAACTCTAAGAACCTTGACTAGCTAGAGAGGATTTACGACTTTTACTTAGAGAGTTTTTATTTGAGTGGATGCTCGTTCGCTTATTTTTTATGAACTTCAGAGTCTAAGGGTGTTAGGGATCTTCCATCATTATTTAAAGTTAGAATAACTCTTATAAACCGTTAATATTATAATACAAATGAATATTCTTCAATTCATAAGACATATATAAACTATGGGGTTTTGGGGTTTTGGGGTTTTGGGG